CACTGTTCGGTCTGATGTCCGGTGCTCGCGTGCGCCTACTGGTGCCGTGCCACAGGCAAAATTCCCAGCGCCATGCAAGGTGGTAATCTCGTCCCTGTATGCGTTCACATCTGATGTTAGAGCATTTGGAAGAGACTGTAGAAGGCAATTCTGGTGAAATCGTCTAAAATCCGGATCTGCCAGTCTCCTAGTTGCCAGGCCATTTGTCTGAACCTTACGTGGCCCAGGGAAACTCAGGAAGAAGCAAGGAGTGCGTGGTCGGAATACACAAACGTGTCATAGAACGACCGACGGTCAGTTATTGGTCCGCGCCATCAGTAGCTGATGACAACGCGATCGATTTGAGTTTGCGGCCGGCATGCCGTTGTAGGACACCACGTTGCCAAGCGAATTCGGCTATTTCGAAAGTTGGTACTGCAGAAAACAGATTGTGTTCAGCACACAGCTGAAGCTATCGTTCATTATTGTCCGTACGTACCGATCTTACCCCGTGGCATTGCAAACAATACTAAATAATCTAAATAATTCTGCCTCGCGTTTTGGTATGCGCTTCACACCTGCAAAGTGTAAAGTTCTACTGCAAGACTGGGTGGCCTCGAACCCTAACCTCATGCTTGCGGATGAACCGATTGAGGTAGTAGACAAATTTGTTTACCTGGGCAGCTGTATCAGTGCCGGTGGTCTGGCGAACGATGAAATTACCATCCGGATTGGGAAGGCCAGAGCAGCTTCTGCAAACCTACGTCACCTGTGGCGTAGGCGTGACATCAGCTTCTCTGTCAAGGGTCGGGTTTACAATGCTGCGGTGCGCTCCATATTACTATATGGATCAGAAACGTGGCCGCTGCGCGCCGAGGACGTCAAAAAACTTTCAGTGTTTGACCATCGGTGTCTTCGGAGCATTGCCCGAATCTGGTGGGAACACCGGATCAGTAATTCTGAGGTACGTCGAATGGTATTCGGGAGAAATAACTCACCCTCGATAGATGAACTGATCACACTGCATAGGTTGCACTGGCTTGGCCACGTGTTGCGTATGCCAGTCGACCGACTTCCTCGAAGGGCTCTTTTCGCCCAACCATGTGAAGGGTGGAAGAGAGCCAGAGGCGGTCAAACAATGACTTGGCAGCGAAGTATGAAAGCCATTACCAGCAAACTCAGCTGCGCTGGTCACTGCCGTCTTCCTGGATGGGGACGCTTGACAACCCACTGACAGTGCTAGATTTATGCACCAATTTACCAGCTCGCGCGTGCAATGCGCAGCTACCTACCCCCTCCCCCAAATCATCGGTGAACGAAACTGTGGCAGCTACAACCAGTGTACGACCAGTACGGGGTTCTTACAGCTGACAATGATGATGATGATGATGTACGTACCGAGTTCAGTCCATGTCGAACTCCTGAGTCTCAGATACGCTAAGCCTGTCCACGTGTATATTCGCATATGCGGCAACCACCACGATATCCGAGGTTTTAGCTCGCCAAAGAAGAGCATTCAGGGCGTCGTAAAACATTTTTTGACGGCGTTGAAGCTACAGTCAGTTGGGGCATAAGCGGACATGACAGGCAGACAGCGATCAGCTTCCCGTTTGAGACTGCTTCACAGACGTTGTCAGACGAACCACACAGAGGCGACTATCAACAGGTATCCACTCAAGCAAGGATACTTCCGCCCGGTGAATTAGGACGACACTAACCCCTGCACATCCAACCGCAGCAGCCTCTGGATCACCAGAGGTGCGCAGCCGGAAGCGAGTGGAGACTGACGGGGCGGTTAGCTCAATCATTGTGCTTCTATCTTGAATTCTCGTTTCTGGGACACAGCACACATCGATGCCAAGCGAGTCCAGTGTTATTGCAAGAGCAGCTTGTTGAAGGCGGCCAGATATTCTGGGTGTCGAGGCTTGAAGATTGCTTTGGGGATACCCGAGGATGTCGGCGCCATGTGGCGAGCAGATGTTGCGCGCTAAACCGATGTATGACGAACAGAGTCATCAGTCCTAAGTGCTGGGCCTGCAAGGAGAGAGTCATCAATGGGATGGGAAGGAAGAAAAAGTATGTGAAAGAGAAAGAAGGAGGGCGTCAGCGGTATCCTGTTTTTGCTTATCCGCCCTGTTGTATTCAGCGAGTAAGGCGACCCGGTTTGTGGTACCACGTGACGGCCGGCGTGGCATGAGAGTAGTTATCCGTAACTGTCATGGTTGTGCATGAGCTGGAATACTGTCAGGACGCCCACATCTAGACAAGAGGACGATTAAGGTCCTCAGCCAAAGCCTTTGGCTTAAAGACCTGACCGCAAGGCAGCGGTGTTTGACGGGAAATGCAAATACATTACCATTTTTACGGAACAAATTGCCATGTGTTCCAACCCCCAACCTGTAGCTCGAATGATCAAGACTCCAGCTTCCGGACTGCCGCATGCGGGACTTCCGAGGCAGGATCACCTGCACCCCACACAGAAAGACGTGAGGATCAGACGAGTCATTTTTCGTTTCGCGTTGTCACGTCATGATATGTCCTTCGCGAGCATTTCGTTAACAATGGAAAAATTTCTGTCGTAGACGGTTGTCTGGCCTACGTGATACATTGGCAGGCTTTACACGCTGCTTGATCTAATTGGACTCATTACCCAGTACTCCCTCGACCGCTTCATTACGCCTATGCTGCAACAAGTTAACATCCGCTATTGTGCAGAAGTTACAACGATTAAACTTTTAGACACATTTGAGGACCAGATTTTACGGCATAGGACTGCTTTCGTGGTCGTTTGTAGACGTGTCCATCTAACTTCACTGATATTTGTCACCCCACCTATGAGTAATACTGGTGCTCTAATGATGCGTGTGCATTGGCTCCGTTTGTCACGGTGCGGTCACGGTTTGTGCAGGCACAGATAGGTAATCCTGTCAACAAACCAGAGCTCATTCTGAAGCTCCAAATGTGTGTTTGGGAGTACGAAATCCCGAAGTAATGCTCCGCGTTGTCAATCTGTTGAATGTGTACTAAAAAGGGATCACTTCCGATGTCCTATTAAGGGTAGTTTATAGGGACACATTGTTGTCAAACAACAGAGTAATGTTATCTGCATTATCAGTCCTACAAATCTGGCTCCAAAGATGGTTGTGACACCAGAATTCACGATTTCTTTTTGGGAAGTGTCAGCAGCGAAGTTGGAGCAAAGTGGGGAAGGAGACAACCCTGACTAACCTCGTTGACTGTGGGAAATTCAATGAACTCAGTTTCAGCTGTAAATCGTGTACCATGGGCACATTAGTTCCAGCCGCTACAGTTTTGGTCACCGGAAAGTGGGAGAGTTTGGGACATACAGCCAAGTAGCGGAGGCAGTGGCATGTTCAGTTATTTCGGGAAGTGGGCATCTACGCATTAAAGACGATAATTCTGATGCATCAATGCCACCGACTGCGCGATATGACCATTTCTGCCGGTGTCATTAACCGTTCGGGGGTACCCATTCAGGAAGGCACCAGTTGTCGATCCGACTAGGTTTACCGGTTAGTGTCTTCATACGTCGTTTCCTTGTCATACACTGTCCAACTCTCGGTCGCTTCCATTCCGCACAGAGCTGGACGAAAAGAGCTCTGCCGGGCAGACGGTTTTCTTGTATGCGGAATACATGTCGTAACAGGTGTAACTCATGGAGCGGGAGAGCGTTGTGTGGGGCTTTTTGGATAGCTCATCGTAAACCCTAACACGGCGAAAAGTATGGGATTAAATAGCTCGAATAATGCTCGGAAAATCCCAAGGCATTCCTCTTTGGTCGATTTTGTGTAGAACATCCAGCCTGTCCACGAGGTGGTGGGATGTAGCGACCTTTCAGTGCCTGACTTTCATGACACCAGAAGAAAGCACGAAGGATGGGACTCTGCCAGGTAGCCTAAGCCTAGACAGTGGAACTCGAGAGACAGATGTCGGGTTCGAACCATGGACCTTCTGGTCAGTGAATTCGCGCTCTAACCACAACTAACTCGCCCCCGTTAGAGTTACCATTTAATTAGTTATTTCTTTGGATGCTAGCTTGTCTATTGTTGTCGTTAAATAAAACAGGAGGGAACGTGAAGAAAGATAAGATGTGTCGGCAGCAGTTATGAGCTCGACTCAGCTCAGTTGTTAACGTGCGAAGCTATCAGCTATCAACTGAAATCTGGCTTTTCCGTTACTCATGTCTAGGTTAGTGCGATCTGACAACGGGCGAGATGGCCCAAGTGGTTAGAGCGCGAGTTTACTGACCGGAAGGTCCGTGGTTCGAATCCGACCTCTGCCTTTCGAATTCCCCTGTCTAGGCTTGGGCAACGTGGGAGTATCCCAGCCCTCGTGCTTTCTTCTGATGACATTATAGGTGACGAAAAGGTGCTACAGCTGAAAGATTATCGTTATCTTCAGTGCGGTCTGTAATTGTGTGCGGCCTAAGATATTAACAGAGCACCCAGAAAACGATGAGTACCTTCAACCAAAGCCCGTGACTCAAAAGAACTGTCCTGTTCTATCGGATGACATACTTTCAGCTACTGGTAATTTTCTCGCTGTCAGTGTGTTACGCCGTTTTCACCGTCACTGCGGTTAGCTTGTTCATGTGCATGTGCTCGAACCGCTTTGAACTGCACCTGTGACCATCAGAAAAGTGGCGTAGCAACTGGACGCATATCATGCTTGGCACATGGTTATAACTCACCTCGTTGAGCCGTAATCGAGGCGGCTAAAGTTCAGGCTTACTACCCAGTCATTGCTTGTGGAGAGCGTCTCAGACTTCCATATTTTCCCCGAAAAGGCTTAGGAATGAGACTTCTCGTCCCGTAACTTGTGAGGAAATCCAGTGCTCTCTATGTGAAGTAAAAACACCCTAAGGGCTGCTTGTCTCAAGGCTTTCTAGGTGAAAAATTAGTCATTTTGTTCTAAGTTCCGTACATGTTATTTTATTTCTTTTGAAAGCATTTATAATTTTTGTAAACTTGTCCTCACGTTTATTCTGTTGCTTTATGTAGACGAACGCCATGTCTGCTAGCGCCCGAATCAATCAACTTCAACATGCAGATTTACCGACAACCCTTGGAGTATCCGACTCAATTCACCAAGGTTTGTTGCGGCCGGTTGATCTTTCATTCTATTTTTTTAGGGTCCACTCTACATCCATGGGATTCTCAGGGTAATATCGGTACGAATACTTCAAGAACTCCCATAGGATCGAGTGTTATTAACTCAGTTCTTCAAAATTGCTTGAATACGCCGTTGTTAACAGATTTCAACAATCGACCTTCAAACGTGCTACATCCACATACGGGTCCTATCATCAACTCGCTGACGGCTCCAAGACGCCCTATTGTGAAAGCCCAACAGAATACTCCGATTTCACTCGGGTCACCTTTATCGCACATGGGTGTCACTAGCCCCAATGACACGGCAGGGTTTGATGGGTATACTCAGAGTAAGTGTATTTTTCTTTTTATTTCGTCAATCAATAGTGCACTACATGGGAGGGGCAAGCCTTCAGAAAATCTTATCGAAAGAGGAAAGCATCCCATTAACAAAACAAAAGTAGACTAATTACCACCGTGATCGATAGCATAACATCAATGTTCAACACACGCTTCGCTGGCATGCTAAGATAGACTGAGCTGAACAATCCATTTGATGAATTGAAGATTATCTAGGGTCAATGCACCCGTTAACTTATTGTGTCGAAGACGTTCACGCATATTTTCCATGCACTTTGTCGCAAGGGGTTTTATTCTCCGAAGTCCGCGACTTTGTCGAAGGTATCTGAGAGGTGTATTTGATGCGTTTGTTTGGGCGGTCTGGTTGTTGTTCACCTCATTGACGTCAGGGGTGAGCCGGTTATTGAAGTAGTTTATGATTGGGTTCACTGGTCTACTGCCACCGTCCGAAACAGCAGAATCCTTCCTCACTATACATCCTCACAGAGCCAAGTGACTGGATTTTCATCCACTTCATGAAAAATATATTTCCTTGGCTTACACCTCATTCTTCTGGAAGATTGAACACGTTGCAGCATTTTCGGCTCGTTGAATGACAGTCTGGAATGATCCCATTGGAGGACGTGATCTCATCTACCTTTTTTTCTTTTTTTTCCAGCCCTACGCTAATCGCCTCAGTTTTCGACTGATGTTATCCATGTGTTAGTACACATGCCCTCTCCGGCGTATTATGATCACCCTTAGGGAGCGAAAACGCTGGTTCTTTTCCAGAGAAGATTAATCGTAGGGATGGGTGACCGGATCTTTTTACAATCTAAGCGTCTACCCTATTTTTTGTCTAATTCGGCTGTGATCCTTGATTTTAGAGAAACCTCACCTTTTTGCATATCAGAATCATGGCGAAGCCATCCTATTGCGTCTTCAAGCAAGTTATTCTCAAAAACGGACCCCTTGAGGAGTGTAAAAATGGGTTTAGCCGTAGCACCTTTTCGGTGCCTCGCTGTCATGCAACCCGAAGGAAGCGCGAGAGCTTGGATACTGCCAGGTTGCCCAAGCCGAGACGCAGAGGTCGACTTCGAACGGAGGGGTGCAAAAATATATCTTTTTTTCATACACAGAACCTTGTGGACGTGATCATCAGCGTCTTATTTTGTAGTAGTGAATTGGAGGCCTCTGATGCGTACTTACTACGTTGCTACTTTAGTGTTTCGTTGCACCAGGTGTTTCAAATGTTTTCAAATGTTTTCAAATGATAATGCATCGCCAATAACTTAGCCGCATCACTCATCTGGAACCCACAGTTAACGTAGGACCCTGGACAATGAACGTGTAGCCTCCTACGGCTTCGGGGGTTTATAACTGCATATGTTCTGCAAAGCGCCACCGAGCTCCTTATCCGGACGACCTCCCACATTGTTCAAAGATGGGAGTGAAGTTCTCAATCAGCGCTTGTCTGATCTGTTCGCCCGCATTCGGGAAAGGTAGACTCTCTCAGACACCTGGGAGCGATTCGGTGACACTGCCCATTAAAAAAAGACGTTCGTTGTGACTGTGGTAACCACAGCGGGTCAGCTTGACCTGGGTTGTATCGAGACTGTTGTTCTCACTTGTGCTTCATCGATTTATGTAACTCGAGAGCAGCAAGCGGAATTCTTGCCTGGCAGTATTTGCGTGGACGTTTCGTGAGATAGATAACAGACGTTCATTTGTAACGCCCTTTCGGTGTTTACCTGCCATACCACCCAAAGTAATCATGAGGGCTTCCGAGGTACAACGGACATTCCGGCCGGTAGTTTGCGCTCTAACCATTGAACTGGAAGTATGCGAGAGCATCGTCCTCCACGAAGTTCGCTCTACTTTTTTGCCTTCATTTAATCATACCAGTTTTTTAAAATAGTGCACAAACTCCGGGGGACCGACACATACAATAAAGATTGTGCACAATCGGCTGAAACAAAGGTATTCGTGAAGTCCGTGATAGGCATACGTGAAGGCTGTAGGTTATCGCCTCGTGGATATCATATCCACTGTTTGTGGTCGATTGTGGACGATTGCTGTCGTAGCATCATCAGTTAGACTTTCAGTCTTTTGCAGAGTTTGATTCCCTTACAGTAAAATGGTACTAAAAGGCGAGGATAGTAAGTAGGAGGCGTTATTAAGTTGGCTTAGTGGACTGACTATTAAGCGGACTGTTGCACCGAAACCGTTTTGTTACTCCCAGTCAGGCTCTGCTACGATCAAGAAACCTATCCCGCACGCGATTGGCCAGAGGATCGGGCCTTTTGCCGGTCCAGCAGGTTGTGATCCTATGGCGTCCGTTCAGTGCTGAAAGTTTTGTGGATAAATGAAGGTGAGGTAGTTTTTATATAGATATGGGTCGTAAGGCCGGCCTGGGTGGGTTGAATTTCCGGCATGAATCTCCTAGCAACAAATCGCTCACTGTTCAAGTATCGGATTGACTTAGACCACATTGCACTCAGTCTTCGTGCACAATACTGTCGTCCGTATTTTAACCTTTGTGTAGATCGAGATTCTTGAAACTTCACTCTTAGGCGACAAACTCCGTATTTAGTTGTTTGCTGTGTTACTCCATTTCTCGCTTTATCCGTTTCAACCTTCAAATAATCTTCTTCCACAGACATGGATCGGCGTTTTTTCCACCTCCCTGCAAGTTCGCACTTTCAAGTGCCTGGTGAACCTTTGAATGCTGGAGACAAACCACAACTAAGTAACTTTTTCCACACTGGTGGTGATGAATTTTGTATCTCTACTCCATGCGGAGCCCACCTTGGTCAACCCGTGAATGCGCTCACATCAAGCAATAACAACAACTCCGGCTCCGTCTGTCTTCCTGCGAAAATGCGCGCCTCAAGACCACAATCGGAAAACAGTTTTGCATTTTTTTCCCAGTTGGTTGACATGGATCGTTCCGGCGTCTCATCGTTGGGCTGTCCTAAGACATCCTCCGCGTTCAATCATTTATTGAGTGCTAGCATGAAGGCAAAAACATTGGAAGAGATAGAACACTAACCAGGTGCTGACAGACGACCCTTGGCGGTTCCGATTAGTCCTTTATCGCAGGACTACACCTTGTTTTTTTTGAGTTTACGGTGCATTCGTTTCTCAAACTGTATAACATTAGGTTCATTTGTACATACTCGCATCCTTTTCAGATGTCCCTTTTCGGACGTACAAACTCATACCACACTGGTCTCAGATAATGCGCATCTGCCCTCATCTTGGTGCAGGCGCTCAATCTGTGATCGGGACTGCAACTATGCTTCCCCAGGACTACACCATCTACGGTCTGGTGCGAAGACATTAAGCTGAAGGTTCTTCGAGATATATTTTGTTGGGTGCCCACATATTTTCACCACGTTTCACATTATTTACTGGTTGCTTTATTAAACCTCTGATTTTCAACTTTGGTTCTATATTTCGCTCATGAGCGAGAGTGTGTATGCCCATATAAAGCAGCCGAGTTGCTACGTAGCTGCGCGTTCTGTTTATGGGGGTTGTCATTTTCTATATGTTGCACGTAAGTTTCGCTTCGTTCTCACAACTTACCCCCGACGTTTGATTCAGACTAAGTTGTATAGACTGATGTTAGTCAGGCAAAGAAATTCACCAGCACACTCCAAGTCCACCGGTCTTTCCTCAGGTGCCGATTCGACTTTTGTGGTGTTTGTTGTGTTCGAATTCAAGAACAAGGAACTGGTGAATTCCACCAGTCACGGCAAAACAAGATAATTCACACATTAAGGACATGATCGGGCCTCAATTTTCCATGCGAATAGTTGTAGGAATAGGAATTGCGACGCGTCTTAAAGCAGGGTCAAGAGCCTTTTCAGAGTCGGAGAATGCGACGTCTGTTGATGGGTAGTAATCTTGGACTTGCTCATGCCCCTGATGTAATAAAAAAGCTGTTCAGTCCGCCACCCCCCCCCCACCGGATCGAATTCTGCCTGTTTCTCCCAGACTTGTACGTATGCCAGGTATCACAGTACTGTGGAAGTTGGTGGTCGTTTTATGGCACGTATAGAGGTTACATCTCTGTGTTTGGAACGGAACTTCGACTACCTCTGATCGACCATACGAGAATTGGTTTGTTCCAATCATCTAGAGCACTTTCTTGTTCCCAGTAATGTTCTGCAAATGTGTCAAGATGGGACAAAGAGCGAGTGCTCATCTGGTCCAAAAACGTGATGGCTTCTCAAGTCCTAAGTGCGCACTACTACGCAAAGCGAGTGGAAAACTAAGTTAACAGACTACGATTCAACTCGAACGGAGCTAGTCGAATAACAGACGTTAGCACATATATTCGTTCCGATAGTACTCTTGGAAAATATTCTGCCGTCGCATCTTGAATTAGAGTGTAATCGTATCCACGGGACAGCGAAATGGGGTGTCTTCATTGGGTGTAAGGTTGTCTCACGAGGAAAATACCGTTTTAGAACGGCAGAAGTGTGGTTCGTTAGAAAAAGTGAAACAGTGTCGTACACGAGAGCTTCAGCGGGAATCCAGTCCAGTCTCCCGTTAACACTACATTAACTTGCAAATTGTTGCAATTCGCCAACTGGTATTACACGTGTTTGACGGAAACCCAGGAACTGCGCTCATCAGGTGCGTCCCACCACGGGTGAAACTAGTCTGCGTAAGGTAGGTGTTCAGCAGCCTCATGAATATTGTGTTACATGAACGTAATAGGCACAACAAAACCATGGAGGTGTATTAGAAAAAAATACTGGCATTTTATATGGACACAGGTGGCTCATCAGGTGTTGTTGCTCTTGCAAATCAAAGCGTTCAGGATCTTAATTTCTGTCAGCGCCAAAGTTGAACAGTTTTCTGTTGGCAATCGTATCTACTATTCCTTTCACGTTTTACAACCAGCGGATCTGTCTTTCCAAGATCAAGCAGTTTTGCTGCTGCTTTTTCGCTTCATCTTTCATTCTCTGAAGAGATTTTATTTTAAAGTAAAGATGCGGTTAGGTCCCAAAACGTGTATCCCAAACAACTCTTCATTAATGGGCGTACAGTAGACAACGAGGGCATATGGCGCTACGCATCCTCCAATAATCGGATCGACCTCACCATCTGACTACCCCCTCGAATAACGAATTATCAGATGGGAGTTTTGCAGGTCTGTAGTATTTATTCTTCCTCTGAGCTACTTATGGGCTTCTGGTAGTCTGAAGAGTGACCTCCCAGCACAGGCAGTTACAGAATGAAATTTCAAAAATTCCCGCATTTCTCACTATCAGCGAACTCTGCAGTGCTTTACAAGGGGGCTTGTCAAGGTATATCAACCCTACCTTGGCTCAGATAGCCACTGCTGGATATCACGAGGGAAACTTTGTCGTAGGGCCTCCGAACGAGTCTTCGGAAGCCACTGGATCCTAGAAGTGTCGTTATCACTCCTTAATTCGAGGCGCTCCGTCTCCTGGGACTAAAAGTACAGTCCGATTGGATAGTCGATTAGACAACAACTCAAACAGGGTCTTTGTTTGGACGGGAAGGCGTGGTGGAACCAGAAAATTTCAGAAATATAGGAGACCAGTTCTGTTGGAAATCCATTATAGCTGTTCCAGCTAAACTGCGAAACAATCCCAAGGGACTTCCACGAGGTAATCGAAGGTGCTATTGGAAACTTGATGTATGGCACAAGTGAGTCGAGCGTGTGAACAACGCTCGAATCAGAAGCGAATTCTCAAAGCTTAGGGGCTGCTTATAGGGCAACTGTAACTAGGGTCTTGACTATGGTTACGATATTTAGAATTTCAGGTGACCTCAAAGTTTCGATCACCAATTTTTCCGTAGCATAGCGAGAATCAGCCGGCTGCAGGGAGTACATGATGTAGTAGTAGATATGCGGGTACTTTGATGAATCCAACTCGTTGAAGAAACGGAGTAAACTTACCAGGTTAAGATAGTTGGGGCAGCTATTGCGTGCGTGTAACCACCGCCTACGACGCTGTTCCTATTCCGAGCGATCGTTAACAAAATACTTCACCAGGACAGGTCGTGAACGAAGAACGTAGTTGGATTGAGTGCTGGGACATATTCGCGCCTTCTTTGTAGGGACCCACGTGGTTTTGGGCTCCCCAGAACATAGCACGCAGTCGACCCAGTTGTTGCGGATGTCATCATTTTCTAGCTAGACCGTTTAGCGGGAGTTCACCTAACGTTCTGCGTTTGGCTTAAGTCGGGCGAGGTTCACAAGGGCCGCTGGGTTGATTCTGCTTATGGCGCCTAGGCTGATAAAGCTAGAGGTGACAACCCTTAATAATAATGGTTCACTTTAAGTACCGTTTTGGTGCCTCTCTGCCATGCCACATGCAAGTAGCACGAGGGCGTTAATGATTCCAGGCTGCCCAAGACAAGGTAAGAACTGGAGATGCAGAGGTATGTTTTGAACCCCGGACCCTCTGGGTACTCTATTCACACCTTAACTACCGACAACTCTCAAGACAAGTGAGGGTTCCCCCATAGTTACTCTCGAAAATCCATGTTTACTGGGTCTGTAGCTATTCGTTTTACGCTCCATGCAACGTGAATTCCATTTCAAGTGTCAAATTCATTCTTTTTTACGGTACTAGACCATACAGTGTATTTGTCCTCTTCTTTGTTGACGATATGGTGTCGGTTTTTTGTCCTACTTCGCTTAATTGAGTACATCAGTGTATTTCAGCAATGGTCCGTTCCACCGTGGTCCGGTGAATAAAAACTATGATCCCCTCAAATAGGGATTAGTTCGGGCTCTATGAACTCAACTGGTGGACTGATGGGTAAACAGCCAAATCCCACAAAAAGAACTGCCAAATTTCCCTCCTTTTGAGTATCCAGTTGGCAAGAAATGCTTTGGGTTTCAAGATGGACTGGTTTCATCCGGTCGAACATTTTGTGCGACCATCCCATGTAATGTAGAGCTGTGAAGACTACCGTGTCGTGACAAATGACGAAGCAGAGTACTTTTTATGTGCTTTCTACTGAAGATCTGCTTGAATCTTACCATCCCAAATGGACCCTACCACTATAGACCGAAACGCCAATTTGTGCACCATAAAACCTGGTTGGTTCATCTTACCACCAGAGAGGGACAAAATCAGCTGCTTAGCGATGTTAAGATTTGGTTTGTGTATGTGTCCTATGTACAGTGTCACTGCAGATAAACGGTGGTCTTTACATTCACCACTTTATTTTAGCCGAATCCACCCCAATAACGGTTTACTTATACACCGTTTAGTACTTAGCTCATATCCTGGCCTGAATTTATGTTCCGCGGTTATTGGACTACACAGCACATCTTCAGCGTTTAGAAAGCAATTCTTTGGCACCATGTTTTGGTGCCATCACTCACCCAATTCATAGAACAACTGTTAGCACTTTTATAAATTCCCAAGTTTTAACGTAAATTGTCACAACCGTTGTACGAGGAGAAATCACTTCCCGAGAGAGGAAGTTCCCGTCTGTCTTTTCGATTGTCATTATGTCCAGTTGATCTGTTAAGCAGCAAGTTTGCTACGGCTTGTTTCAGTACTTATCAAGCGCAGTAGGTCGTACCTCCCATTGAGGAGTATTTCAAGGATACGAAAGTAATCGAGCTGACTATCTAAACATTGATTTTTGCTCTGATTCAACAGATCTCGAAGAGTTTCGTCTTAGTTTCACTACCTTTTGAAGACGTTTTTCGCTAAAGTCGTCTCCCAACCACCCAGGACTGGTGGCAGAGGATATGTGGTCAGACCATATGTGTCATACTGCAGAGCGCGTTTGATTCTGTTTGGTGTCTATCTGTGTAGCTGCAGTGCACAGGTATCCGTTTTCTTATCTGTCACATCGAAATATGCCGATAGATCCCAGCACCCGAAACAGTTCCCCCTGCATTTGCTCCGATCCGTGTATGTGGTCAGCCGAACTCTCCGTATCTGGTGAACCGTAGGGTGCAATGGAAGAGGCCAACTCACTACCCATAGTTGTATCATACAGGCAAGTTAGACAGCTGAAACTCTGTAACTGAAAGGCAGCCCGATGGCTTACGCTTACGGAACGAACCGGGGCATGCACGGTGGCTGGTGTTAGACAAAAGTAGGTTTTGTCTACGTTCTTTGCTGAAAATTACACCTGGGACTCTGGAACGTGATGAGCGTTATGGCGGGTTGTCTGGAGATCCATATGAAATACGCATATGATGCGGTAGAAAGCATTTTGATACCGTTTAGTACGGCACAACAAAATTCGATAGAACTGGGCACAATGCAGTGAGATGTAGAGATTAAGGAGTTAATCTGAAAATGGAGACATGGAGTGGCTAAGCACAATGTTCCCTTAAGTTGGGGCAGTGACACCTTCCTTGATAATACGGAGAGATTTCTGCCGCTGAAACTGAAAATGTACGGAGGACGGATGTGACTTGCGTGTGTACCAGACGTCTCATCTCAG